ATTTGGTATTGCAAAGTATTATATAATCTTTGAATTGAAAGTGACTTTATAGTTTCTCTTGTAGAACATGTTCCCAAAGGAACTATGAAGATAAAATCTTGTCTATAGGAGTTCACAAATTCTTTCCATGTGTCTTGAAATCAATAAACGAAGGTCAGCGCGTGTTACTAAAAAATAATCTTGAATTCAACTGAGGTTTTTTTTTTGATCTGTTTATCATCCAATCATTAATCAAGTCTATGTTCAGAGAGCATAGTTTAGACAAATATTGTATGTGGGACTGCCAGCTAATGTACAGAACAACTAGTTATATTTGAATTCTGGATGTAAAACACACTTTTTAGTATAAGTTTGTCCCACAAAACATTTAGGACAGGCTTATACTAAAAAAGTGTTACTTGTTTATCTGAAATTCAAATTTAACTACATTTCATGCATGTATATTCGCTAAATCTGGTAGCCCTAACTATAAAGTTTTCAGATTTTAGAAACAATAAATGCAAGATAGTGTTGCAGAGTAGCCATAATATGGCAGGCAGTGGATGAATCAATTGTCAATTCTACTTTTCCTCCTGCTGTTAGTGGAGTGATTTAAACTATCTGGATCATATTCACCTTATTTTCTGAAAAGAGTATGGTAATCCAAAAATTATCTTAGGTGAGTCTATCTTGATTGAGTTTGGGGATCTAGAGTTCTGTAAAATGTAATTAAAATATTTATTTCAAATATCAGACATGCAATTTATTGCCATGTGATCTTCTTATTTTAAAAGCACAATAAAGTTAAGCTTAAATATCATGTTAAAACAATTCTCCTAGTAGTAATATATGGTCTAGAGGTTTCTCCACCAAGAGTTCTAAACCAAGAGCATTTAACTATGAAAAAAATTGAATTTTTTGTATCTTTCTGTTGTTGATAAAGAGAAATATAATCACTTACCATGGCTTTAAAATAACCTTACAAATTAGATTCTTGGAAGTACATAATGTTCTAAAAGGTAATATTCCACTGGGAAGAACAATAGTATGATTGTCAAACCCTTTAAATATAACTTTACATTATAGAAATCATTATAGAAAGATTGAATTTTGACAGTCTTGAACTGTGTTGAAAGAAATTAAAGAAGACCTAAAAAATAGAAAGATAACCATTTTTTTTCACTGTCTAGAAGACTGTATTATTAGAATGGCAGTACTTCCCAAATTGATCTACAGAGTCAACACAATTTATATCAAAATCCCAGGTGTGTTTTTTTAACAGAAATTTTCTACCGGATCCAGAAATTCATATGGAAATTCGAGGAACTCAGAATAGTTAAAATGATCTTGAAGAAGAACAAAGTTGAAGACTCACCCTTTGTGATTTCAAACTTTCTACAAAGCTATAATAATCAAGGCAGTGAGGCACTTGCATAAGAATAAACACTTAAAGCAGTGAAAAAGAATGGGAATTTTAGAAATAAACCTTTATATTTATAGTCAATTTATTTTAGATAGGGAGTAAAGATAGTTCAGTGAAGGAAAGAAAAGTCTCTTCAATAAATGGTGCTGAAACAACCGGATATCTGCATGTAAAAGAATAAAATTGAATGCCCATCTCACATCATATGCAAAATATAACTCAAAATGAATCATAGACCCACATTTAATATCTAAAACTATGAAAATCTTAGAAGAAAGCATAGGAGTCAATCTTGGAATCATGGGCCTAGGCAATAGTTTCCTACGTAGGATACTAAAAGCAAAAGCAGCAGGAGAAACAAAAATAGGTAAATTGAACTTCATTAAAGTTAAAAATCTTTGTGCTTTAAAAGATACTACCAAGAAAGTAAAAAGGCAGTCCGCAGGACGAGAGACAATATTTGTAAATAATATCTATATCTATATCTATATCTATATCTATCTATCTATCTATCTATCTATCTATCTATCTATCTATCTATCTATCTTATAAGTAACTTATATCCAGAATATATTAAAAAAAAGGTTTTACAACTGGCATTTTAAAAATAGGCTAAGATTTGAACAGATATTTCTCCAAAGGAGATAGACAAATGGCAAATGAACACATGAAAAGATGTTTAATATCGTAAATCATTCATTAGGAAAATGCAAATCCAAACCATTATGAGATAGAATTCAAACCCGGTAAGATTGCCACAATAAAAAAGTTGGACAATGACAAGTGTTGGTAAGGATATAGAGAAATTGTTACCCTCAAAAATAATTAGTGGGAATATGAAATGATGCAGCCACTTTGGAAAACAGTTTGGCAGTTCCTCAAAAATTTATGTATAGAGTTACCACTAAAACCCATCAGCTACACTCCTAGGAATATATGCGAGATTTAAAAACACGTGTCTGTAAAACAAACGTGTACACTGATGTTCACAGCAGCATTTATAATACCCAAAAGAAAAATCTCGTATTTCTATGAATTGATGAGTAGATTAAAAAATGCAGTATATCCATCCAGCTGAAAAAGGAATGTAATATGTGCTACGACATAGATGAACTTTGAAAATACTACGCTAAGTGAAAAAAGCTGGATCCAGAAAACCACACATTGTGTGACTCCATTGATATCATATCTAGAATAGGCAAATCAGTAAAGACAAAAAGAGATTAGTGATAGTCAAGTACAGGGAGAAGGGATAATGGATCATGCCAGTGAATATGGGGCTTCATGTGGGGTGATGAAAATGTCTAAAAGTACATACTGGTGGTGGTTGCTAATCTCTGAGTATACTAAAAACCAATGAATAGTACACTTTAAAAGACTATGCTTTATAAACATGTATTTTTATCTTAATAAAGCTGTTATGAAAATGAAAAAGTGACTTTAGAAATGAAAGTTGTTGAACTAATTGACTTCTTAAATTTTTAAGAGCTGCTGGCCTACCTTACAGTTAGCATAGGTGTGTAGAAATCCACCTCAGTTTGGAAATCAATCAATCTGTGAAATTCTTGTGCAACAGGAGCCAGGGTCAAACTAAACTATGCTGTGTAACCAGGCTCCTGAGACGGGGCTATCTACAGACCATCTTCTCACTGTTGACTGACTGACTTTTATTTGGCTTTGTTTTCTCATAGCACTTTGCATTTGTACTCTAACTGTTGGTCTCCTATATGGCTGTATGTACTCTAGAAGGGCATAATATACAAAATAGGAAGACAAGTTAGACAATTTTCTTACACCATGTAGAGAGACCGTCTGGATATCTAAATATCTAGGTGATATTTCTGCAAAGAGGAGGAGCTTAGAGTGACATCCCTGTGTGTGTGTGTGTGTGTGTGTGTGTGTGTGTGTGTGTGTGTGTGTGTAGAGACAGAGAGAAACGAATTATATTATCTACTTTTCAACTAAACATTACCAAGTAGAAAAGTATCATAAAACTATCTGCACAAAAACATGGATTAGAGAAAATACTAACAATACAATTGAAAGGAAACAGTGATAAAAGGTAAGCTGGACACCGCTATCTCTAGAAAGAGCTCTTGACTAGCCAAGATTATAAAGTATAAATGATGAGAATGCAATATAACACTAGGAAATATGAAACTTACAACTGCTTTGCAGTATAAATGTGACATCTTAACAAGATAGAGTAGAAATTATTTTTCGAATAATAAAATTCATTCATAGAAAATATATTTTTGAAATATTTTGGAAATAGCTCCATTTTTATGTGTTAGTGTGGCCCAAAGAAATACACCAATGTCACCAGTGTAGCAAATCTAAAATTGAACATTTGAAAGGCAGAAAATCTTTTCTAATCTTTAAGGAGCAAGGGGATTCTGCTAGTTTTAAAATGTTTTTTAAGTATAGAAAATTTAACACTTTCTAATTCATTTTAAAATACCACTTGATTGCATCAGCAAAATTGATGTGTCCTAGCCAACTTTCAACAATAATAAAAATTTATAATTTGTTGACAAGGTTAAGAAATGAGCATCATAAGTACTCATAGAGAACAATGTCTTTTTACAATTTAGCAGGCACATGAGAAAAGCATTGTTTTCATTGATGATAAACTTAAAACAAGTCTAAAACAATGAATCTAGACTTAGGACCTTCTAATCACTTTTGAATGAAGAGTAAAAAAGAGAAACAAAATCAATGATTTACTGTTATCGTAAATAATCGTAAGGATGGATTTTATCCTTGTTTTACGGGAAGAAATCTGAGCTTCAGATACGCTGAATAATCTTCCCAAGCTGATTCAGGATTCAAACCTACACTGTCTGACTCCCCAGCCAGGCTTGCTGCACTTCGCTTAGGAGTTACTGCTCCTTTGAATAGAAAATATTTTAACCTGTCAAGTTAGGCAGAATTATTTTTTCCCAACTTGTAATTCATCCGATAAGGGGTATGTTGAGTTCCTGTCTCGTTGACTTTAATTTGGCCAGATGCTATGCTTTGGCCAATGAGAGGGGAATCGAACAGCATTGCCCCATCACAGTGGATGCTTTAAATATGATTGTGTGGACCCTCTGTCTCTCTTGTGCTCCTTCCCTCTACCACCACCCTGATACAGCCTAGAGGACAGTTGTTCTTTTAGTCTGGGTCTCAGGGGAGAAGGCACATGGATCCTGGTGGAGTCCAGTGGAGTCACAGCCAATGAGAAGCTTTCATGTAACATGAGCAGGAAATAAAAGTTTTGTTTTGTAAACCAGTGAGATGAGTGTTTCTCTTTTTTGTTTGTCTTTTTTTTTTTTTGGCACTACTGTGAAAGTTGAAAACGTATATCCTGTTTAACTCTAAGCTTCACTAAGTGTCTACTCTTTCACAGATATTTTAAATAAATGCATATATAATAAGACGAACTGTCTATTATGCCTAGACAGGACTGTTTCTGCCTTTACAGATGAAAAATATGATTTGGCAATTATACTATGGAAGGGAGGAATTTAGCAAATAGATAATTAAATGTTTATTGGAATTGTTATGGTTTAGATCACTGTAGAGAATAAATATCTTATGTTTTTGTCTCTTTTAGGATGTGTAACGAGATTTGTTGTAAGGAATATTTATCCTCCCCTGAAAAACCTCAGGAACTGAGTGAGTAAGTGTGCAAACAAACTTGTGTGCTTGGGATGACAAAAACAATAGTCATATTCATACAATATTAAAAAAAAAGTTTTCCATTACCAGTCTATAGCTGAAATTTACTTATTCATTAGTTGCAGTCAGATCAGCAAAAACTGACTCTTCAGATCTCACTGGCCCACTAACAGAACTGTTTACCGAAAATATAATTCTACATGATACTGCCAATTGATATTAGGTGTCATTATAAGAAAAGCTACAGTCTCATGAAACTCATTGTACCTGTGTCTCTTTTTAGGATAATGTGAAGATGTTGTTTATTACACAACAGAGAAATTTCTGTCTGCAATTTATACAAAGAGTAATCTGCTTCTCATCAGCAAATGGTTTGATCTTATCTTTGCTGCAGCTTTGTCTAACTAACTGGGTTTCTTCTGTCTTACGAAGCTAAAAATCTTAATTTAAATTTGGCATTGATTTTTTCTTAGCCATATTTTCCTCATACTTTTATGTCATTACATTCTTGTTCAGTGTTTGTTTCTTTTCATTTTAAGTTCATTTATCATGTTATATTTTATATATCATTGTAAATCCTTTAAAACCTTTCTGGAACAAATTTTAGCATTGATATAAAAATACATATTTTTACAGTTCTGACATGAATCCAAATACATCATTAGCTGCTTTCTCAAAATACAAAAATGATAAATGATGGTTCAATTTCCTCATGTAAAAAAAAAGATTACCAATTATATAATATCTAAGGTCTTTTTCGGCTCAAATAGTGTAAGACGATATGAATTCTTGTTCTTAAGCAAAACCAACAATTACCAAGTCCTTTCCATTGACGTCCACTAGTAATAAGACCTAGTATAGGAATAAACCTTCCTTGAACAAGATTTCCTTCATCACCTAGTTCTCAATAAGAACATGCTTCTCATGCTTTCATGTGCATATTAATCACCTTAGGATCATGTTAAAATGCAGTTTCTGATTCAGAAGTTATGGGGGGGGTCTGAAATTCCTCATTTTTAAAACAATGATGCTAATACTGCTTGTCTGCAAATCATACACGAAAAAGATTAAACTCAACTAAATGCTGCAGAAAATAATTTGACGTTAGCTACCATACAGGAACAATATACGGCTGCACTCAAATCTGGGAAAAAAATTTACTAGGGACCTATGACCACACTGAGGTCTGAATTTCAAAAAAAATAGTAAAAACACTACATTTATCTGACCACTGACCTGAAATTAACCTATTTTCAATCAAATGGATGTTTGCATTGTGTAGCTTATAAAACCAAAACAATATGCAAAACAGGAACCTAAAGATTAATAAATGAGTAAGCATTCTTCACCTTGAGAAAAAAGGTACAAGAAAGACCCCACATCAGAATATGAGTTCACAAATTTCAGCATGTTATAAAAACAAGTTCTGGAATTGAAGTTGTATAGTTAGCTGAAAGAAGACATGATTGTTTATGCATTTTGTTTTGATTTAAACAAATCTGTTGGCATTCTGCAAAGAGAAACAGAGACAAATGGTTTAAACAGACCTTCGCTCTGTGTTTCAGTACACTGCCATAAAACAAGTTAGATGAAATTAAGCATGCAGCAAGATGGAAAATTTTTGCTGGCGTTATCACAAGTGCTTACCATAAATGTATTATAGTACATGCAAAAAGACTGCAAGGGAAACTAGTGCTATCAAACTGTGAATTGATTTCATCCGTACCTTTCATCCTGGCTGCTTCTGTGTGTTTATTTTGGTTTGCTTTGTTTTGTGTCATTATCATTCACAAATGAAATATGCAGAAAAACACACCATTAATTTTCTCCATTATTTGCAAAGCATTAATGAGGAATTATGTAAACATTGATATTTTTAATGAAGACAGCTTTCCTTTTAGTGAAGTTATTGGGTCTAGGGGGATAGGAGTGCTTCATGTTATTAAAAATAAATCTGCAGAAAAATATAAGTTTTTTTGACACTAGACCGTGATCTTCTTAGGGGATTTTCATTTTATTCGTCTTTGGAACCTCAGAGCCTAGCGTTAACTGTTGGCAAATAATTATATGCTAAATCATTGCTTCTTCATGCTGTGTCATATAATAATAAGAAAAATCTTATTAGGTCAAATTAATGCTATATTAAACTCAGTTTTCTGTTATTTAGAGTATAGCCATCTAAGCCTAATTATAGGAGACTATAACAGTGATGAAGGAGGTTAGGACAGAAACACACTGCCATATGATCTTTTTTATTACAGAAACAAGAGATACATGATCAATGGAAAAATAAAAATATTTCTCATTTTAATTTTACAAAATATATAGAACCATTCTTGGCTAATAATAAATATTGTATGATATTTTCATGATGCTTAGGGTTTCTATTCTGGCTTTTTAGTTAATTGCCATAAGGCTCATGGTTCAGGATTTTGAGACTCCTCTTGAAGTCATACACTCAAAAATTTTGTCTCCTCCTCAATTTTATCAATCAGTTTTCCTCTTCTCTTGATGATGAAAGTAAGTCACATAGACATAATCTGCATATATTGTGCAGCTGATTTTTTTTTAAACTTAGTGCCTATTTTTGCCAATGACTATACCAACAAATAAGACTTAAGTTTACCTTCATCATGTTCACAGTCTAGTGGGTGCTGTCAGTGTTTTCTGAACTTGTAGTTCACAATGTTGCCAAAAGCAAAAGCGTCATTTCATGATTCACTCAGTTTTTTTCTTTATTAAAATTTTATACTTCTTAGTATCAGCACTTTTAACAGTCCCACTAATTTGATACTTTTAACTCACACTGGACTTTAGTATTTACTAAATACCTTAACATTAAACATAAACTCAGTAGAAATACAGTAGACTAGTGGGTGAATGGGTCTCTACCTGGGCTATAAAATCAGATTCACCTTGAGAGCACTTATGTTGTTCTTGAATAATGATACGCATAACAGATATTAATGTATTTTCCGAAGTACCTTAAATCAAAATTGTATTTGTTGATTCATTAATAGATCAAATGGATAAGGATAGGAAATTCACAAATAGATTAAAGTACATTTAAACATTTTGGGGAGAGGGAGGGAGGGAGAAATGAATAGATGAAGCACAAGGGATTTTTAGAGCAATGAAATTATTCTGTATAATACTATAGTGGTGGCTACATGTCATTATGCATTTGTCAAAGCCCATAGAATTTGTAACATTGAGAGTGAACCCTAATGTCAACTATGGACTTTGGTTGATAATAGTATGTCCATGTTGGTTCATCAATTGTACCAAATATGCTGCACTGATGAGGGATGTTGAGGGTAGAGGCGTATATATGTGTGGGTGGGGAGGGCTATGTGCGAACTCTCTGTATTTTCTGCTCAATTCTGCTGTGAACCTGAAACTGCTCTAAAAAAATAGTCTATCAATTAAAAAAAGAGGTAGACAAAAAAATTAAATAAAGTACTTTTAAATATTTTGTATATGATAAGGTAGCAAATAAATCAGTGGAAAATGAAGGATTTTTTGAGAAGAGGTACTGGGTAATTGGTTAATCATGTTACCAAGTCCGAGCTCCTACTGCCCACTGCATGACAGGCCAATAAATTGAGAGAGGAGGTGTTGAGGGAAGGAATAGTGACTTTATTTGGAAAGCCAGCAGACTGAGAAGATGTCAGAGTTGTGTCCCAGTGAACCATCTAATCTGAGTTAGAATTCAGGCTGCTTTTATACTAAAAGGGGGAGGAATGTAGCTTGTTGTTGCAAATTACTTGGTGCTGGCCAGGCCCTGGAGGGGATGAGCTGATCCTTTGTTCTTGCAGCTGTCCAAGTAGGTCTGGTCACGGTGTTCCTATAAACCTCCAATGAGACAAGGGATGCCCAGTAGCTGATAAAACGTTATTTCTCAGCGTGTCTGTGAGGATATTTTCAGAAGAGATTAGCCTTTGAATTGGTGAACAAGTAAAGCTGACGGCCCTCTTTAGCGTGGTTGGGCACTGTCCAATCTGTTGAGTGCCAGAAAAGAACAAAAAGGCAGAGGAAAGGAGATTTGCTCCCTGGTTGAGCTGAGACATCCATCTTCTGCCCTCAGACATCAGCACTTCTGGGTCTTTGGCTTTTGACCTCAGTTGGGAATTAACACCATCAGCCTCATTCTTAAACCTTTGAACTAGGATTGACTTACACCACTGGCATTCCTAGTTCTCCAGTTTGCAGATATTAGATCTTGAGACTTCTCAGCCTCTATTAGTATGTGAACCAATTCCTTTAATAAATCTCATCATCATATAAATATTCTATTGGTTCTGTTTGTCTGGAGAACTCTGTTTCTTGTAAAAACCTAGATGCAGTGACTAACATTTTAGCAAAGAGTACCCTTAGTGCTTAAATTATGATCTCTGTTTACGGTTTCTTTATCCAAAGAAACAAGACTCCTTAGAGAAACAGTAGGACATGTACAATATGCAACTGAAACTTCCTGTTCAGCTAGAAACCAAGGATGCTATTAAGCACTGCTGATGTTTTGCCATGAGACAGATGCCAGTGTGAAGAGGCTTCCACTAGCCATTGTGTTGCAATATGAAAACCATAAAACCATCTATGGAGTATTTTTGCCATAAAATAAAATATCTAATTTTTAGATAAATTAGTTTACAGAAACCAGGTAGAAGAAAACATTAAGTGATACCCCAGGTGTACAGTGTAGAAAATCCAAATGTCAGGTGTTCTATCAGATAAATAAATGAGAAGAAAATTTTTTAAAAAGCAAATCTCCTATAAAAGAGATTTAAAATGCACGTAATTTTTGAAACATGTTTGACTTACTATTTGAAAAAAAAACTTAATTACATTTCTAAGAAAATCAAAGCTCTATGGCCTTGATAGGATATTTGATGCTATGAAGATGTTATAGTTTAAATTGATGTGTGATACTGTCTTCATTATTTTTTTAGAAGTGTCTTCACTTAACAATATGTAACAAATTATTTATGGATGAAATGATGT